CTTCAAACTCCTCTTTTTTGAATCTATGGTAATTGCAGTCTAACTCAAAGTTTAGTGTCTTGTACCTAAGCCTGATAGCTTAAGACCAAATAAGTCTCACTAGTGTATGGACCTCCACAGTTCTGAAGATAATCACTGGTCATTATAATCTTCCCTTGGAGAAGTGGGGAAATGTCAGACATGGAGAAATTTTAAACAAATTTGAAACTAATATGCTTAAACTTTAATATTCTTCAGACAACCATTTGCATTTGACATTTTGCTCAAAAGTCTGATAACTAGTCTACATACAATCCTGTGACTGAGACGGCCCAGTCAATCATTTCAATATAGGATATATGATCATCCAAGTAATTTTCACTGTTTAACATTACAGCAAAAAGAAAGCCAGGTATTCATTACATTTCTCAGGTTTAGAGACAAAAAGAAGAAACTTCTTTAACATAGTTTTTGCAAAGGTACTGCATTAACAGGCATCCCAAAAGCAATCTTTCTAGCAGCATTACAAACTAAAATGTGGACTAAAAATGTGAGGTTTATTGCCTGTTAAAATAAATTTTATTATTTACTTGATATATAAGCACTCTCCTTATCTGAGCTTTTGCACTGCAAAGCGCATCCAAGTTCCTTTAACCAATTCTAATTTAATGACAGATTTAATAACACTGCAGCACAGAAGTGTGGACTTGGCCAAAGAAAATTATTTCATAAAAATCTGATGTTTATACAGTAACATCTAAAATGTCACCTAATACATACAAGTAAAGCAGAATTTTTTTAATGTATATTATAAACCCTAGGGCTTTGATAGGTAAAACATCTACTGACTTTAAAAGACCATAAAGATAATTTATTTTTAATAACCATTTTTATTTAATTTTTAAAAGAGCAGCAGTTTATGCCTTCAGTAGAACCATGCCCTGAAATCTCAGGGGTGATTAAAGGGCCATGCTAAAGCTGAAAGGTTTCGAATATCAAACTATACTATTATGTCAGGGTCAGCAAGATCAATTAGCGCTTTCCAATGACAGAAAAAGGTTAAGTTGAACACACATTTGCGCAATATCTAAATCCAAAAAAGAAAAATCGCACATATTAAGTTTACTTATAAACCTTTCGATCAATGACCGAATATCAAAACTCTTCTTCCACTTGCATACTGTAAATACCATTTTTTTTACAAAAAATATCAGATAGACTGCAGATACATTAGACAGCAGAAATACTACTGGATTGTCAAGTACAAAGAAAAAGCAAAGACATCTGAGTGTTTCTGCTACTAGACTCAGTTTAGCACTGAACTTCCAAAAAGCTTTAAAAATACTTGATCAACTTGACAGATGTCTGTTAGTCTGATGCCCTTGTGTTTGCATTCCTCCTGCAAACCCTCACAGTACAAAAAATGAATGATAGGGAGCAAATAAACCTATTCCTATGTTCAACTAAAAAACAAATAGAAAACTACCATACAATAAACCCACACCCACCCTTCAAATTAAAAATACTAATCTGTAAATTAACTCATCTTAAATCTGGAAAATACAAGTGCAATTAAAAGCCATCCAGAAGCACGCACGCCAGGAAGCAAGGGAACTTACATTTCAGTTCTTAGTATCACAAGAACACTCACTGGAAATACAGGCATGTTAGAAGTTAATTCAACACCTGTTAATACAAATGTTGCCGTCGTAAACATAGCTTGAACAAAGTACCTGGTTATGATATCAAATAAAGTAAACATAAAATCACAATAAAAATGCAGGAGATTAACAAAAACTACGGACAAAAGAACACTATGTTGAAAGCAGTGATTTAGATTGGCAATGCATTATTTTGAGTAAAAGCAAAGCAAGATTACCTTTCTTCAATGATGTATTTCAAAACGTCTCTTTTTATTTAAGCCCACTTCTCTATTTCTTCAAGGAGTGATTTGAAATATTTACTACCGGACAGTACCTAATTTTAGGTTTTAAGTGCTTTAACAGCTCTATGAAATATGATCAGCAGCTGCAATATAGAAGTATGCTGAATAAACTCTCCTTATAAAAAGGGAGACCTGTTTTACTCTGAGTTCATAAACTCCCTACTTTCAAGAAGGAAAAAGATAACAGACAAAAAAATAATAGTTGCGTTCTAGAACACTTGACAGAAATTCTAGGAATTTCCTTCTTTCTGTATTAACTTTTGTACTTAAAAGGAAAAAGCAGTTTAAATTTTAAAAACTGAAGGATTGCACAGAACATCATGCAATGCCACCAGTACATCAAGGAAACAGACTGGTACCTTTCCCACACCAAATGCCAGTGTTTAACATTAATTCTAGGACTGGAAGGCAAAAGTTGCATAAAGTTTAAAGTGTTAAACTGTAACGCTTGCATCAGATGCTAAAAATATGCCACAGGATACTATCTATAGCTGTATTTCTAGTTACCTTGTTTGAAATATTTTAACTGGAAACTGCAATTAGCTGGAAAACCACCGTTGTCCTACTCATTACATTGCTTGTTTAGAATTTATTTATTCCATTGGCATTATCCATACAGAATAAATTTCTATTGGAAAGTGTTGTGAAGCCATTAATAAATACAAATCCAGCAAGAGTAACTGTCAACCAAATTTATTAGCAGTTCAATCATATACACGTAACAATTAATAACAGCATACAAATTATCTGAACAAAGATACATAAAAGATCAGCCAACAAACTCCTCTTTCATTTCTATCAGATTTGATTGAAGAACATCTGGTAACATAAATACCAGAACTTTCAAAAGAAAGCAAGAAGAGCTGTTTCGGTCATAGCTCAGCTAATGTTAGATGTCAAATATAGAGGAAGAATCACAGGGAAGACAGCGAAATGTCAGTCTGTATTTCCACTTTACTCATAGTATGATACATACTGCAGGTATGCAAGCATTTGTTATTTAGCAGCATTTTCAGAAATACAAGGAGGAAAAGTCAAACCCACAGCAATTTTACGAAAGTTTTCTTTTGAGCGTTACGGAAATGAAACAAAGATATAGCTTGAGCTTTAATAGAAAGGGCATGCTTCAAACAACAAACTCCGAGGTCAGACCAAAAAATATATTTACCATACAGGGGAGATGCCTGCTTTGTATAATTCACTCTAAATCTAAACTGTTGATTAGTTTATCTTCGATACAGTTTCTAGTCTACGCATGTGAAACACGTAAAACAAAACCCAGAAAACCGTAAATGCTGTTTCCTTACTGTTCTAGCATGACTTCACGCTTAAACTCGAACCGGCCAAGGCGCTCTCTTGTCTCGTACAGTTTGTCTCCCAGGATTTTTCTAAGTACTAGCTATTTCACACCGCCACGCGCGACTTCAGCGTGTGCTCGGCTGCAATCCCTGCCCCCGGGTCCCGGGCCGGCAGCACCGCGCCCGCTTGGCTCCGAGCGGCGGTTTCATAAATGTAAATGAAACTTTAGATGCCAACTACCGATTGGCAGCAGCGCTGCCGTGGAATCCCGCTCTCCCTTCCCGGAGGAAGGCGCCGCGGGGCTGCTGCCCCGCGGGTGGGTGCCGGGAGCAGCCCCGGGGCACCCCTGCGCCCGGGAACGGCGCGGAGCCCCCGCGGCTCGAGGAGAACCGCAGCCGAAGCCGTGTGAAACCCAGCTGACGGTTCTCGACGGGTATCTGATTTTGGAAGTGTCTGTAGTGACAGCAGAAGGAAATTAATGGCTATGAGCCCACTGGGTTTGAACACGGAGAATCCTGTTACCTCCTCGCGGATCAAGTATGCGCGCACACCCGCAAACACACAAGGCTTCCCCACGTGGAAACGCTTTCTGACCAAACACAGGACCCCGCATCGCCGGTGGGAAGGGCAGCGGGACCCCCGCGCCGGGGCTTCCCCACGGCCCACTCCTCCGGCGCAGCGGGGACCCGCGGCGGGGGCGGGGGCGCAGTGGGACGACCCGAAAACGCACCGTTTTGTCCTTTAAAACCACAAGAAAAACAAGCCGGGGCGGGGGAGGGGAAGGGCAGGAGACATCCCTCAGGGAAAGGAAACGGAGAGGAACAAAAACAACAGGCAACTGTGTCCCCGCTCCCCTCGGACACTGGGAAAAGTGGCTGCCAGAGCCGCCGCGGCGGCTGCCGGCCGGGAGGCAGCCTTGCCCCATCCGCCGGCACCCAAAGGCAGGCGGGCAGTGGCGACCCCCGAACGCTGCCGGCAGCTGGGGCAGCGCGGGGCCGAGGGCGGGCGGCAAAACCGACGGCTCCTCTGCCGCCGCCGCCTGTGCCTGCGGCTCCCGGCCAGGCTGTCTCGCCCCCGCGCTGCCCAGACCCTGGCTAGAAGGAACGGGAGTTTCGGGAAGGGGCTCGCTACCATCCCTGAGTGTTTTCACTTCGCTCTGGCCGGAGGGGGTCCCCGCCGCCAGAAATGTTGTTTCCTCCCAGCCTCCGGTCAAGCCGCCGCCGGCCCCGGCCTTCGCAGGCCGACCTGCCCCCCGCCTCCCCCAGGCGGGCCGGCAGCCCCCAGCTGCTCGCGAGGCGCAGCCCAGGCCCCCCGTTTCCGCCGTCACGGGGGTGGACGGGAGGGGCAAGCGGGGAACAATGCGACGGCAGCCGTGACGGCTTGCGGCTGTCTTCGGGCTTACCCCGGCAGCGCCAGTAACAGCTAGCCGAAAAAAGGTGAGGTTAAAACCGCGGGGATTGTCACCTGGAGAGAGGCAGAAAGTCCGGCTGGGCGTGGAAAAATTCACCGCGTTCGCACCGGAGATCAGTCTGTTTTTTTGCAACTAAACTCGCTTGGGGGCCGGGGGCGAAAGCTCGTCTCTACCCCTCCGTTGTTCCTTCCCATCACGTTGTTTTACAGTAACTTTGTTGTTGTTGTCATCGGACCAACACGAAAAGAATGCTAAATAAACGCTAAATACTAGCACATGCACATGCGACAGGGAACCGGTTTCCTCCACCTCCGAGCAGAAGAGGTGGGAGGGAGACACGGGGACGGCGAAGTCAGAGACACTCACCTTCTCGCTGCCGGGATATGCCGCTACCTTTATTTTAGGGCCGCTCCTTATGTATTTACTCTCGTACCTTCTCCGAGCCGAGGCTCCCCTTTTGCACTGTTCCTCTGGCAAAACCAGAACATCCCCTCTACAAGTTCCCCCCCCCCCCCTCCGTTTTCTTCACACACAAATAAAGCGCAACTCGGAGCAAAACGGGAGGGGAAATTGGGGGGGAGGGAGGGGGAGGTGGAGGAGGAGGAGGCTGGTACGGGAGAAGCCAAACACTCCTCGCACTTCAGCGAGTGCAATTAGTTGCCTCTCACGCACAGGAACGTAGAAAGTTTCTCTGGCAAGGGACGGGACTTTCCTAAGAAAAGGTAACCCCCTCTCGCTCTCCCGCCCAGAATGGCCGTCTCGGGAGCGCGGAGGTAGGGGGCGAGGACCGCGGGAGCCAGCGCAGTCAGGGACGCGCGGCTTCGCACTTGTGCCAGGAGCTGCCGCCGGGGCTGCGCCCTGTTCCGGCCCCTACCTCGGCACGGCAGCCCGGCTGTCCCGTTGCCCACCCGCCGCCGCCCCGCTCAGCCCTACTAAGCCCCGCTCAGCACGCCTGCACTGCCGCTGCCCCCGGCCCCAGCACACCGCGGCGGGCATGGACCGCCGGCTTACCCGGCCACCAGACAACTCCGAAGTGTCCTTCCCGGCCTTCCCGGGCCTCGCAGCCCGGGGCCTGCACCTTTCGCCTTTGCTACTCCCTGACATCTGCAGTGAATAGTGATGGGAGCAAAGGAGAGGGCCCTGAAGGGTCACAGGTTGACTAATGCCAATCCACTTGAGTACAGGTAGTGAAGTCTGCACTTGACTTTTCCATTTGTTTCTTCTACAAGAAACCAATACTATAAAGCAATCCTGAGTTTTTGGAAGGACTATGAGTGTCTGAATGATCAAGTACTACACAACAGGAGTGGTTGGTGTACCCTTTTACAGGATGCATTTGTCTGCTTGTTCTCAAGCTGGCCAGTGTGGATGGAGGCAAAGTCCTTTCCTGCTCTGAAAGTGAACGCTCTTTTCTGCAGAAAATTCAGCAGCTCCATATGGTCTTTCTTGCTACTTAGTGTGGGGAAGCGGAAGAAAACCTATAATTGCTTAGTCACGTTTCATGCTCTTACCCTTCACCTTGTTTTATTTCCTAAGTATTATTTCACTGCGTGGATTGAGTGGCTCTTGTCCAACCAGCTGCATCACCCTCTTTTTGTCAAGTTAACTTCACTCTCCAAAGGGTGTAAGTCAAAAATTTAAAAGAGGAGGCAAAGTTAAGCCCTGTATTCGGAGAGAGACGTGAGAGAAAACTCTTGGTTTTCAGAAGTACTGAATGTCAGAAGCTTTTGAGGTCAGCAAGTCACCTGAAATGAGGGGGGGAAAAGTATGGATTTGTGAAGATTCTTTCCTACCTGCCTTCTCTTTCCTTACATTGCGTTTGGTGATACTATTTAAAGCATAACTTAAGCTGTTTGCCTTTGAATTTCATAATTTGCATTCAATGAATTGTACTAACATGGTCATCTCTTTCCTAAATAATTTCAGGCTTAAGACAAGTAAATCTTCATGAAAACAAGTCTATAAAAACCTTGTATTTGCTGTCTTGGATAACAGCAAGATAACAGACTTATCAGAAAGATAACAGACTCAGAAAACACTTTTGACCTACAAAAATACAACTAGAAAATCTTTTAAACTAAAAAAGCCTCCAAAAGCCAACCTTCAAATTGTCATAGTGTGGGACAAGCCAGAAATACAAAATGAATTTTGAAACTGAGAGCTCAGAGAGTAACTGGAAAGGGAGAAAACTCAGATTTGTGGGAGTAATTGTAATTGACAACTCTGCCACAGACTAGGTTGTGACTAATGCCAGCATGCATCTTGCTAACAGGCTCCTTCAGCAGGGAAACATGCTAACAACTCCTTCCTTTCTAGAGGACTTTTGTGAATGGCAGCACAGTGGTCTAACCTGAGGTACTCAAACACGGTAATAATGAAGGTCTTTTGAAGTCTGGTTTCTTTCCACTTCAATGAAGCAAATTCCTTTAAGGGGAATAGTCCGCTAGTAACATCAGTTGTTTTAATAGACATATCACTTTAAAGCAAGCTCTTAAACATCTGTTGCACTCTCTCTTAAAATGTAAGGTACAGCTGACTTGAAAGATTGCGTGTATCTTTGCTCAGTGTAACTTGCTTCAAATTGAGGAGAGATGAGAGGGTTGCACTGTTGTTACATGGTATGGTCCCAAGACAAGTCTCCCAGTATGGGGCCTGGTCTTGATGTCGTTGGATCACGTTGCTATTTTGGTATTCATTTTGGTGAGAGTGAGCGGGGTCGTACCAAATGTAATGAGTGTTTGGTCTGGGTCAAAAGGGACTGAGGGGAGTCCCACAGAAACAGATCTCCTAACCAAACAATTTTTCACAGTGATTTATTGTAAATGTGACTTTCACGGGTAGGAATTAAATGATGATTTTGTTAAATCAATGTCTTTGGGCTGAAGTAAATTCCAGTGAGCTCAGTGGAAGTGATTTCAGAAGGCCAAAATGTAGTACAGTACACTGGTTCAAATAAATTGACTCTGTGTGACCATGGAAAAGGTCATGCTAGAAATAGTCCTAAGAGAGCCCAAGGAAGGTCTGTAGGGCCCACTTTTACACCAGAATAGAAGAATAATACCTTATCCATTTAAAACAACAGGGGAATGTAAGTAGGCAAGATGTAATTATCTAGATTGGTGTTTGGCCAGGCACTCCAAAACTACCAAAACCAGGCACTACCAAAAACTACCAGGGTGTTTAATGTCCACAAGTGCTTGGTATCCTTGGTTTTACCTCTTAAATAAAGACAGCACTTGTGATCATATCGTTTATGCTGGTTCAATACTGAGTCAGCAGAAGAAGTCACCTTGCACAAATACCCATTCACACAGTAACTTGGAATTTCCTTGGAGGTCTTCCATGCGAATACTATAGACCCAACCCTATTTACCTTGGGAAATGTAGTGAGATTACAGCCATAAGTAGTATGGCTCCAGAGAATCATGTTTGCATATGTTGCTAAAAACAATATGGACTTTGAAATATTTATAAGTAATTTTTAAATTAAAGCAATATTTTTTTACATTGTATCTCAGTAACAACAAGGTTTTGTTGTTGTTTAAGCAAAGGGATTATACTTAGTTATTCTGAGAAAAACTAATGACAGACAGTCGCTATTTTGGCAATGTATCATGATTATGATTTATTGAAGTGCCTACCATATGCTGCATCCATTTAGGTACCTGTCGCAATTTTGTTTTACAAAAGCAGAGCTTTGAAATATGGCTTCTTATTTTCAGGTTCAAGTATGAAATCCAAAAGCCTGTTAATTAGGCAAAGTGTGTTGATCTATATACTTCAGGTAATTATTGGTGCTTCATGGCTTTATAGTCATAAAAAGAAAGAATGAATGGGGGTTCTTTTGACTTGGTTATCAGATTTCAGGTTTAAAAAGAAGGTGACACACCCTTTTCAGTAATTCGACATGCAGGGTTCAGCTGTGGGTTCAAAAACAGGTTACAACTGGCTAGTCATTGTGCTCTTGAAATGCCAACTGTGCCTTTAAGTATGTTATATAACCTATTTTTTGGTTTCAGTTTTCAAGTATGGCATCATTTCAGTGTTATTTGGATTTCCATATATTTTTTAATCCAAACAAATCTGACCTCAATCATAAGGTTCCATGGCTCCAAATAGCTGAGCTTTTCTAATATTTTATTTTGAGTGCCTACGTTCAATACTTCATCACATAGATATGTGCTGCAGACTGTGCCAAATACTGTGCCAGGGATGTCCTCAATTATCTTCAGTGCTTACCAGGAGAGGGCTCTGTTCTGCATACCGTACACAGAAAAAAGTCCTACTGAAATTAGTGTGGGTTTTGATTCTAAAGCTTGCTTGAAATGAAGCTGGCTAAGTGCAAATGAAAACCTACATTATTTCAGCTGCCTGTGGAGGCGGAATGAGGTGTGCTTGATAATCCTAATTTGTATCCTGCTATTACACCAGGATCTTTTTTTCCTTCCTGGGAGAGACCCAGTCTGCATCCTGCAAGGTACCTTTCTGTCATGTTTCGTGTAGGTTTCATGAGGTTTCGTTTAAGTAATCTACAGAGCTGACCCAGAAAAAATATTGGGCCATTTATTTTTGTTTAATGAGCCATGTTTTCCTTGATCATTGTGGGATACAAAAACTATGTCTGCACTGATCAGGGACATAGATCTAGCACACAGATCTGTTAACTTACTTCTTGGCGTGGTTTTGCTGTCATCAATTAGTGTTCGCATAAAAACGCCCTGGTGGAGTTCGAGGTGTGGTATGGGTCAAGGACGATTCCTGGTGCTTTGACTAGTCCAGGCATTCATCCTATGCTGGAGAATGAGACAGTTGATAATGAGAATTTTGGCCTTCCAGAAACGCTGCTCTGACAGATGGCCTCAGGTCAGAGAGCAATCTTCAGATAATTTCCTAGTGCAGATGTAGCCTGAAAGTCACTCTTAGTCCTGTTCCAGAGACAACATTAGGTCAGGTTGTTGGGGAGGTAAGAGAACTGTCAGGGCTGGCATTACCTCACCTCCAGAGCTTCTGGCACTGGGGGAGAACTGAGGGTGTGCCCCACACCCATCTATGTTTATTCTGGCTGTAGAATTTTGTTTCAGATTTCATTTCATCATAAATAAAATAAAGAGTAATCCATGGATGATTTATAAAAATGTGAATATTTTAATCTGTTTCATTAAACATTAGTGCTGCTGCTTAATGTAATTCCCTTGAATTTGCTTTTTAATCAGTTTCATGTTAGATGTAGTTTCCTCAGTTTTTGATTACTTCTAGGAATTTCCACCATATTTTAAAACTTCCCTCTGGTTATTTTTATCCATTTACAACATTCTTCAGTGGAATAACTCTGATATGGCTACCATGCTATTTTTAAAGATCTATTTAAAGCATCCTCAAAACCTGTAAGACGTAAAACCCAGCATTTTGAAAATGGTTTTTGGTTACGTATATAGGGAGCATAAACCAAAGACATCATTTACTGTCATT